TAATTAATTATCCTTTTTATTTTGAGCAATTAATGAAGGTCATGCTTTTTGTCTTACGGTTCTCGAAATGTTGATATCTCCTTCTCTGTTGTCTCCAAGCGCTTTCTAATCAAAACAGTTTTGTTTTTTATGCATAAGCAAGTAATCATAAATTTATTCTATTTTATGTTTTGATGTAATAGGCACTGTTTAAATTATATTTGGAAAAAGACTGACGATTTTTAATGGCATTTGCTCGCGTTTGTTTGCATATTGCTAGAGTTTGTTGAACCCGTATTTTGATGAAAATAAAAATGAAAATTGTAATATCCATTGAAAAATCTCGTTTTGACCCATTTTCCAATTAAGTTGTTGACGGTTAAGAAGGCCCTGCAAAGTTTTCAAAAAATTTTGACAAAATTTTAGTGACTTTGCCTAATGCCTAACTAGTAGAAATGAATTGGTCACTAAATTCCAGTGAAAAGAACAAATACTTGAGGAAAATGTAATTTTCAGGATATATTATGCCTCGAAATCATAAAGAAAACAATAAAAACGAAAACAATGGTCTCAACAGAAACCGCAATCACTCAGTTTCACCTGAGGAGCCAACAATTGGAAAGAAGCCCCAGTGGACTGAGTTGGAGATAACAGGCACCATCAGAAATTTGAGCCCTAATCTATTTCATTTACAAAACTTAACTGCTTTATACGTAAAAAATAACAATCTCCAAAGGCTGCCACCTGATATAAATCAGCTTGTTAACTTGCGAGCCCTTGACTTATCTTGTAACAAGCTGCGGTCACTGCCAGCTGAACTTGGAGATCTCATGAACCTCAGGTGAGTTTTTGTTTTCAGTTGTATGATTAATTGTTTGTCTATGATACTTCTCTGTTAATTTATAATCCCTACATTAATTTTCATTAACTTTCCAATTATTATTTTTGATTCATTTTAACTTGAATAAATGTTACTAGATTATTATAAAGAACTTGAGACTAAGGTGTGAATGTGTGATACATTACATATGGAGGTGATAATGTTGATAAAAATAGTGTTACTGGGTGGTACATGACAACAGTTCTTTATATACTCATTTATGGTTGTTATTATTACTTGATTTTGATTGCCTGATAACTAATTGCCCAATTATTTTTCACTAATTAAAAATGTCTTTTGTTTATTTTGAATGCTTAGAGTTATTAATGATTAAACATTTTTTGGAAGTGCTGCCTTTTATTGTTAGATATTTATGAAAAAATGTGGGTTTTGTAATTCCTTTGTTATTGTGGAATTTTGTTGTAAGAATCTTTTTCATTGACTACAAAACATTCCAAATAAATCAAAAGAGATAGGTATCTTAGCTATTATAGTCAACCTTGAATTTAATTTTAGTTTTAATAATTTTAAGCAAGACTCAAGATTTTGTCCTTATTATCCCGCATGCTATCCTAACGTTATTAATGGCATAATTGGTTACACCTACATTTCCCCAAATTCCCTTTTATTCAGGTAAGAAAATGACTTCCCATAGTCCCCATGTTCACTTTTTTACGTTTTATTTAACCTTTGCCAACCTTTTTATAAATCCTTTGGTAGTTTATTATTGAAAGGTACACGGGGTAATAAGTAAGTCCCACATTTGGTCACATGCTGAATCAACTTTTTTTTTAATTAAAGGTCCAAATTACGTGTTTTGTAGCAGTTTATTTTTCTATGACGCAGCGGCTGTAATTAATTGTAACTGTAAAAAATTATGGAAAACTTTCTATAACAAATAGAATACAAGACTGTCTGCAGTGTAATTTGGGCCTAGAAAGTGGGCATTATTACCCCAAACGTACCTTTATTTTATAGAATCCTTGTTACTTATAAAAGTGGTTTTATTAGGTATTATTTTTGTTGTACTTGCCTAATTAAAAATAAAACCAGTTTTAAAGTGATAATATTGTATTGATATACAAAAATTTGTTTATATTGTACTCTGAAATAATATGGACTGTTGTGTGTGTTGTATTTATGTTCTGTTTATTTATAGTTTTATCATTAAGGGGCTCAGTAAAAATAACAGATAAGAATTTTTGCCTTCTATCAGTAATTATTATCTTTATCAAAATACAAATACATTGAAACCCCTAATGCAAAAATTTTAAAGTAATATCTACTTGGTGTTTTTTCTTTATCCTCACCACAAAACAAAAAAAAAGTGAAGAGCTTTTTTGAGTCGTTCATTCTTACATTTATTTGTAGATGTCGTTATTGATACGCTTTTAATATTTTAAAGTCCAAAAGTATAGAAATATTCCTACTAGATGTCGTTACTAATTCTACCTTTTTTTAATAATCTAATGTTTGAAATTGTGGAATTACATTGATACATTGAAAAGAGCTTTTTCTTCACTTATTTCACAATTAAAATGAAAAGGAAAAAAATGGAATTTAAGATACAATTTCACTGCAGCATTTTCTGTTTTATCATTCCATTACAAAAGAGCTGGCATATTAGTAGTTTGTAATAAGTTTAGAAATGAAGCTGAAGTCAGAATAATAAAATTAAGGAATATATATCTATTTATGTCTAAGTTATTAGTTATAAAAAAATTGTAAAGTATTAATTTAATTTTACTATAAATTGTGTAGTTGTATTATTAGCATTTTACACTATATGTATTATCTACTTCTTCTTAGAATGCTTGCCATAGTTACCTTTAAAGTATTACAATACGTATGAACATGATTTTATCTTTTCCTTTGTATTTTTGCTTCAGGGAACTTCTGTTGAGTCATAATTTTCTACGTATTCTACCTTATGAACTGGGCAAATTGTTCAATCTCATAGTGCTCGGATTGCACGGGAATCCCCTCAACAAAGACATTATGACGATTTACAGCGAGCCGAATGGTACACACAAGCTGCTGACATACATGTTGGACAACTTACAAGGTAGGATTTGTTTATCTTTATTCCTTGCTTTGCCAGGTGCTTACAACGTTCAACCCCTATGATAAGTATGTCATAATATCATTGAGCTGATAGAATTGGGGTAGACATGCTCACCTCATGTGTTACTTAATAAAAAGTAAAAAAAGAAAATAAAGAGGCATCATCTATCTTTGTTTTAAGTAAACACAGTTCATGAAAGTTTGCTTTGAACATAGTTTACATTAAATTTCAAAAAAGTTTCTGTATTCGTTAGAGGAAACCTCATGAAGTCTTGCATTTTATGAAGTAAATAATTCCTTTTATATCGTCGTTTTGACGCAACATATAATAAAGGCCTTTGCAGTCTTCATTTTCATAAACGACGCTAATTAATCTTGCTATAGATAGGTTTTACTTTCTCCAAGATCAACCACATTTTTTTTTTGCCTTTAAGCGCCTTGCATTGCAGTTTATTGCATAAATGAAAAAAAAACATAGTTTTTAATCTTGTGGAACTACCATAAACTGTTGTTTTGCCAAGGTTATTTTTACTGCACATTTTTCTAAATACTATTACTTGTATTTAGAAAAATGTGCAGTCTTACAAAAGGTTAATTTCCTGAAAGTATCGGCCAACAGTAAATACGTAATTCACAACACTCTGTTTGTCGTGGGGATTTATAAACGGTTGTTTTTAGGATGTTGGTATTTTTGAACCATGACCTATTTTTATGGGCCACGGACTACATTTGTTGATCAACAACATTTATGTTACCTTTATATCTGCGAATTTTATTTTTGGGACTTTATTACTTTGATAAATGATTATTATTTCATTTTGTCGATAATTAACTTAAAGTTGTGTAATTTTAATGAATATTATAATTATTTGCTTACAAAGAAGCCGTAAGTACTAATTCTTTAATAATTAAGAACGTTAATTAAAAAATTACAACCAATAAGAAAATACAATTAGGTACTTTTTCTCTGTACAGAAAATTTGTAAGGATAATATGAATTTCACGAAGATAAGATCGTGAACAGAAATAAGGAAACCTAATTTTGAATATGTTTCGGGTTATTATTATTTGTTAGTTCAAAGTAGTTGTTTGTGATTCTAATGAAAAAGCCTTCACAATTATTTTTATTTTGTTTATTCTTTTTGAATGCTGTTGTGTAATGATGGTTGTCTACCTTGTACGTACATATTTTCTTTTCAGAAAAAAAGACCAATAATTGTAATGAATTTTTTGACCAAAATTACTTTTTAATTAGTTTAGTAGCTTTATTTTCAAAAAGTATCTGCATTATACGATAATATAATTTCTCTAATAAGCACCTATTTAACCGTCTTGTCTTCCTGTTTCGATACATATTGTAATTAGTTTTAAAACGAAAGTTAATTACTTCTTCAAGACATATGTATGTAGGTAAACGCAATTATTAAACTATAATTTAAAGTGCATGCACACTTTGTGATAGGTTTATGCGTACATGCATAATAGATGCACTCGTTTGGAAACAACACGTGTTCCATTGTAGAATAAGAATAAATTTGTTATTTTTATTCGTATGCATAGAGCATCATGCCACTTACTACGCTCAGACGTTTCTTAATTTATAATTTCCCATGTGCATTGCACACGTCGAGCCATTCTTTTTAGTAGAGATAATTAAAAATTTCTAAATTTCCCATTGCATTGCTTAAAGGCAGCTGGATACAAAGGCTTATTGAATTAAGTAAATGTGAAAATTGTTAATTGCAATTAAGAGTAAACTTTCTATTAAAAAAAACTGGTCAAGTGTGATTTAGACTACGTACCGAAGGTTCCGTACAAACTTGTTCATAGGTATGTGTAAATAGTTCGTCTCGAAGATTTACTCGCCTTTGCCGAGTATGTTTTAAGTTTCCCCCCAAAATCAGTCTCTAAAACGTATAATATTATATACAAAAAAATAATGAGTGCTTGCAGTACAGGGAAATGTAGTATTATGTAAATGAAAGTTAATTTCTTATGCTGAAGTGTACGATGTGTTGCATACCTATTTACAAACAATTCGTTTAAATTTTAATCATTGATAACTATACATCTATTAAAAAACCATAATGGCCGACATCAGCGACAATGCGACAACAATCGAAAAAGAATGATGGCCGACAACTGCAACAATTAGAAAAGAATGATGGCCGACAACTGCAACAATAGAAAAGAATGATGGCCGACAACTGCAACAATTAGAAAAGAATGATGGCCGACACTACGTCATAGTGGAGCAATAAAAATGGCCGGGGGCAGGGGGAAGAACTAGTTACAATAATGAAAATAATTAATTGATCACTTTTTGTTCATGTTTTCTTTTTCAAGTAGTTCTTTCATTGTAAATATTTAACCCTAGGTTCAATTAGTTTAGTTTATGTTGGTGATTTAGTTTCAGGCTAGTTTTAGTTTGTATTGATTTGTAAATATTTCGTTTCTTGATAATGACTTAATAACATTGAGAGTTTATTCATTAAAAAGTGTGTTACAGCAGTACATAAGAAAGAGCAGTACCTATAACGACGCTTGCTTTTTCTACAATAGGTATAGAAAAATGAGCGAGATAAAAACTGTAAAGTGTAAGGCATATCTTTTGTTACACAACAATGATGAACAAAAAAGCCACCCATATGTAGTCCCTGCTCTATATAGTAATAATATACACTACCTATGTGAAGAAAGTACATAAAAGAGAATCTCGCACCATCCAGTGATATGCATAAAGATGAGGGTTGTTCAGATTTCCTAGCAAAAATATTTCAAAACTATGTAGCTGTTGTTTGGTCCTTCTTGAAAAATGTACATTTAAAAGGTTATATTATACCTGCTAACTTTCTCTTTGGGATTTTATGGTTTGTGTGCAGGCGTTTGAAGAAGATAGAAACTTGAAAACAAGGAGTCATAAAAAAATCATAATTTGCAGTAAACCTGTGAAAACCAAATGTGTGCTGGGACACACAGTAGAAGTGAAACTTCAACAGACAAGTGGAAAAACGAATCGCAACAAAATTTTTACTTCAAGTTTTACAGGCAGATTGTTAATGTACTTCTCTAATTTGAAAACCGGACAAAATTTTTACTTGAAGTTTTACGGGCAGGTTTTCAAATTGGACACATACATTAACAATCTGCCCGTAAAAGTAATTTTTTTGCGATTCGTTTTTCCAATTATCCGTTGCCATTTCACTTGTCCGTTTAAGTTTCAAATTTACTATGTGTTCCAGCCCACATTTCTTTTTAATAGGTTTACTACAAATTATGATTTGTTTTTTACACAGACCGCAAATAGAGGCAATAATGCCCGGCCACGTGGAGAGCAGAGGTAAGAAAACAACAGCTGATCACAGCACACGCCGCCGGGACTCTAGCGGACTCCCCGCTTTCGTGCGGTTGCTCATTATATCCATACTGCGACCGTTGCCCTCTCTCCCACGCTGCCGCCTCTCACCACGCGATATACCGTCTACTCTTTGCACGCGTTACGGTCACGCTTTTTCGTGACCCTCGGTCTATTATAGAAGTTTGACTTCAAAAGGTTCAAGAGGCAGACAGGCAGCTTTTCGGAGAGAATTCTATAAAAGTAGTACATTTGCTTCTTTCTTGACGAGTAGGCGCTCTAGTATCGGTTTCAATATTCAATAAGTGTAGGTTAGTCTTTATGTGAGCACGGTATCTGAATATTCTGTGTGTGAATGCACTGTTTTTTGATATATTCACACTCTATCAATTTTTGTATTTTGTGGTGACAGTAGTAACTTCGTCAATCGAATAGTAACTACCGAGTGCATAAGCTACTACTAATCGTCACACATGCAATTGACCTGTCTGTGTGCCAGCCCTTGCCAAGGTCACGAGTACTGGCAACCGTTCTCAATCATTGATGGTTTGTTAACTCGGGTACTTTTGTGCATACATTTTATACCCCCTATGTTGTGGTGCTATCACGAGATTCACTCTACACTGCCTCCAGATGTCACCTTTCAAATATTCCTAAATACTGATCACACATAGTGTATAATGAGAGTTAACAAAATATAGTAATATCTGATAAAAACTAAGTAAGGATCGCCTGTATATATCAGCCTCATTCGCTGAAACCTGAATTAATCCTTAAATATTTCAATTGAAAAAGATTTCTCAGGTCATTAAGTTTATTTAAAAAAAAATATTTAATATTACAGATTAGATTTTGGTTAGTTATAGTAACAGAGAAATAAGAGTAAAGCGCGCAATCCTCATTTAACTGTGTACTTTATACTAGTATTGCAACAGACCTCTACTTTCGCTTCCCCAGCTAGGTAAGTTCC